TTGTCGTTTATTTGTATTGCAGCTATGGCTGTCAAGTGATTAAAAAAATTAATCGCGTGATTAATCACACGATTAATAATAGAATACCATTTATGTAAATATTTTTGGATGTTTTCTACATTTTCAAATATATTTATTTCAATTACAACACAGAATACAAAGTGTACAGTGCTCACTTTATATTTATTTTTTATTACAAATATTTGCACTGTAAAAAAAAAAGAAATGGTATATTTCATTTCATCTAAGTACTGTAGTGCAAGAAAGTCGAACTTACAAATGTAAAATTATGTACAAAAAAACTGCACTCAAAAACAAAACTATAAAACTTTAGAGCCTACAAGTCCCCTTGGTCCTACTTTAGCCAATCACTCAGACAAACAAGTCTGGTTACAATTTGCAGGAGAAAATGCTGCCCTCTTCTTGTTTACAACGTCACCTGAAAGTGAGAACAGGCATTCGCATGGCAGTGTTGTAACCACGTCACAAGATATTTACGTGCCAGATGCGCTAAAGGTTCATATGTCCCTTCATTCTTCAAGCACCATTCCAGAGGACATGCGTCCATGCTGATGACGGGTTCTGCTCGATAATGATCCAAAGCAGAGCGGACCAATGCATGTTCATTTTCATCATCAGAGTCAGATGCCACCAGCAGAAAGATAAGTTTCTTTTTTGGTGGTTCGGGTTCTGTAGTTTCTGCATCGAAATGTTGCTCTTTTAAGACTTCTGAAAGCATGCTCCACACCTCGTCCCTCTCAGATTTTGGAAGGAACTTCAGATTCTTAAACCTTGGGTCGAGTGCTTTAGCTATTTTTAGAAATCTCACATTGGTACCTTCTTTGAGTTTTGTCAAATCTGCAGTGACAGTGTTCGTAAATCAAACGTGCTGGGTCATCATCCGAGACTGCTGTAACATAAAATATATGGCAGAATGCGGGTAAAACAGAACAGGAGACATACAATTCTCCCCCAAGGAGTTCAGCCACAAAATTAATTAACACGCTATTTTTTTAACGAACATCACCAGCATGGAAGCATGTCCTCTGGAATGGTGGCTGAAGCATGAAGGGGCATACGAATGTTTAGAATATCTGGCACATAAATATCTTGCAATGCCAGCTACAAAAGTGCCATGCAAATGCCTCTTCTCACTTTCAGGGGACATAAATAAGAAGCAGGCAGCAGTATCTCCTGTAAATATAAACAAACTTGTTTGTCTTAGCGATTGGCTGAACAAGAAGTAGGACTGAGTGGCCTTATAGGCTCTAAAGTTTTACATTGTTTTGTTTTTGAGTGCAGTTATGTAACAAAAAACTATATTTTTAAGTTGCACTTTCACAATAAAGATTGCACTACAGTACTTGTGAGGTGAATTGAAAAATACTATTTATTTTGTTTATCATTTTTACAGTGCAAATATTTGTAATAAAAACTAATATAAAGTGAGCACTGTACACTTTGTATTCTGTGGTGTAATAGAAATCAATATATTTTAAAATGTAGAAAAACATCCACAAATATTTAATAAATTTCAATTGGTATTCTATTGTTTAACAGTGCGATTAATCACGATTAATTTTTTTTAATCGCAGTTAATTTTATTGAGTTAATCGCATGAGCTAACTGCGATTAATCGACAGCCCTAATTGCCGCAGAACCTTATGGCCCCAAATCAGAATCAGATTCCCATTGGGCTGGCACTGTACAACACATACAACATTTACTCCTTTATAATCTAAAGAGTTAATTTTATTTATCATCTAATGTATTGTTTGGCTGGTGACATTACTAGGTCCAGAGGTACATATTCTGTACTGTAAGTTGCAAAGAAACTTAGGAGTATAAGTTGTGATTCTGCCATATACGTCCATATACCATCCTTTTTATAGCCTTTTGAAAACAAATGATCATTAAAATTCTTCCACTTTAAGATTTGGACATTCTGATTAAGTACATAGCTTTAATTTGCAAAGCTCACTGAACCCAAGTGAGTGCGCTTTCTCTGAAGATGACAGCGTACAATAGATTGCTTTGTACCCTTCTGTCAGAGGGATAAAGCAGTAAAACAAGGCTTCAGTTATTTGTGTGCTAGAGGGGCAGTGGTTATCTGGCAATATGACAGGTTTGCTAATGGTACCTGACAGGAGTGTCACAAAGGAATAATTGTAAAAAACCTTCCTGTAACATAATACTTTACTTGAAACACCACGAATGCAGGATCCCATTTGACAATTGATCTAGTTTAGATGCATAACCTATTTGCTTACTTCCAATAGGAAGTGTTATCATTGCCTGATTTAATGGGGTTTGGGGCATGGTTCTATCAACAGATATTTATTTAATTGTAATGTAATACTTTGCAGTTTAACATCACTTTCTTATCCTATCTATAGATCTCAAAGCACTTTTCAGGGATATTATTGCCTTTTTTCAAGTGGTGTAACACAGGCATAGTGGTTGTGTCTCGAGGTGACACATCTAGTCAAGTGGCACTCAACCTTTCCAGACTACTGCACCCCTTTCAGGAGTCTGATTTGTCTAGTGTACCCCCAAGTTACACCTCACTTAAAAACTACTTGCTTACACAATCACCCATAAAAATACAAAAGTGTCACAGCACACGGTTATTGAAATATTGCTTACTTTCTCCCTTTTACCATACAATTATAAAATAAATTAATTGGAATATAAATATTGTACTATACATTTCAGTGTATAGTATATAGGGCAGTATAAACAAGTCATGGTCTGTATGAAATTTTAGTTTGTACTGACTTCATGAGTGCTTTTTATGTAGCCTGTTGTAAAACTAGGCAAATATCTAGATGAGTTGATGTACCCCCTGAAAGATCTTCTCTGTGTATCCCAGGGGTGTGTGTACCCCTGGTTGAGAACCACTGAGCTAGTCAGTGATGATGAGAATTAGGGATGGAACACGAGTTTTTTCCCTGACCTGAGCTCACTCTGTTACAAAACATCTGCCCCTCATGATTAACTTGACTAGCTGATTTTCTTGATTATTATATATTTCGCTATTCTGATTATTAAGATGTGATTTTTCTCAATTGCAGCAGCCAAATACAGCAACAATACCTTATAGAAAGAGCATTAATTATTTAAATGATTTCTAAACATAGTTTTATCTTAACCATTTTTATGTTTTAAACTGCAAAAATCTGTCAACCTAGATAAGTCAGTATAAGGTGCTCCAGAAAAATCCGTTTGCACAGTAGAAAGCTAATGACCTTTTAAGTGTGGGAAGAAATTGGTTTTATTGTACCACAGCGCTTTTTTTTTTTAATGTGTGCCATTTGTTGTAATCTGCCAGAAGCATAAAGACTACAATAGTCAGATCCTTAGTCCATATGCTAGTTATTCCATTAGATACCGAAAACAGGTAGGCAAAGCACATAGTTAACAGTCTCTAGTTGCAAACGATTTGATCTATTATTAAATTTCAGGTGATCTCTAACTCTGTATTCAATTTTCTCACACACCCCTAATTGTCATGGTTGGGACAAATATTCTATAAGGAATTTTGAAATGGAATCACTATGATGACAGTTCACATTTTTGTTGTGCTTCCAACTTTGGTGGAGCTGTTCTACTTTTAACTGTTTGAGCTGACCACTGTACTGCAATAATGGGTAGCTCTTGAATTATGGGCTTTGAGAGTCACTGGTTGGTTGGGTGCACGTGGCATCTCCCAGAACAAAATAAGAAACTACTGCTGAAGCGCACATGCAGTTTTTAATTGTAGGGACTTAGTTCAAATGTTAGGTTTTAAACCTGATAAGGACAGGCTTTACAGAACAGTCATTAGAATCCTGTGAGAATTTGTAAATCCAAAATTTGGATTTTGGATTTATTTTCTTTCAATTTGCAAATCTGTAATAGGATTTATGGCTCCAAAGTGGGATTTGTAAACTTTCATCAGGGTTTGTAAATCCATTTTTTATAAATCAATAAATGAAATATTTTAAGAAATAAGCTAAATCTAAGGATGCAAGATAAAAGCTTGCAAATCAAAACAATAATTTTAAGACTTCCTGACACAGTTTACAAATTTGAAATAAAATGTCTGGCTTTATTATTTGTGGATTAATACAACCTTACATGATTTTCTGATGAGTGATGAGCACATTGGTGATGCAGGCAATATTTAATCTCCAGCTGGGTTCTGAGTTGATTATGTTGTCACATACCTGGATTGTACAGTTTCTCTCCACTACCTGCATGTGAAGCAGTTAAAAGCACTATAAGATGTGATTTTTTTTTTTTTTTTTTTTTTTTTAAGCACAGTTTGCCAATACTTTTTGTATGGTATCCTGCAGTAGTCTCTCATTAAACTATAGGCTGTATGCTATTATTCAGTTCCAGGGCCATTCTGCTCATTCTATCCATTCCCATAAATGGAAATTCAATAGTCCTTAGCCAGCATCACATCTGTTGTGGCCAGTAATCCTCAGCACTTTAGTACTTCACCTATATTTTTTTTTTACTCTCGGCAGCAGACAACACTAAGATTGATGTTGCACTTATGCTTCTTCATGGGCTTACAGGTTCTTTGACACATAAATATGGGTTGTCTAAAAGTATTCTGCTCTTAACTTTTAGTGAAGTTTTAAAGTCTTAACATTTCATCTGTCCTGCATAAAAGGGCTGAATCTTGTCACAGGGACTCTTGTTCAGTGTCAACAGGACGGGTGGAAATCCAGGAGCCAGATCATCAGCCTGGTTATAAAACAGCATAGCTCTGTTGACTTTAGTTGAAGTCCGTGGAGCTATACCAATTTACATCAGCTGAGGATCTGGCCCCGGGAGCATGCAGCTTTCCTATCTAGTCTAGTGCTTTTGAATAAACTAATTTGTAGTTTCCTTTCTATTTTAGATTTTGCAGAGATGTTTACTGCAGTGAAATGTAGTTTAGTTGGTATGAGCATTCTCTTAAATATTTTTTGCAAATTTTTTCATTATATTGTTTTCTTATATTTTAAAGGAAAAGTGATCAACAAAGACTTGCGTCACTACCTGAGCCTGCAGTTCCAGAAAGGCTCAATAGACCATAAACTCCAACAGGTGATCAGAGACAATCTTTACCTGAGAACCATCCCATGTAAGTATGTAGAGTGCTAGCATAAATTAATTTATTTCAGTTAAACTCTGCATAACTCAAGAATCCTGTAAGCTTTTTTCCTTTGATCCTGTGTTTCACATTTCCACCCTTTCAGTGGGGATTCCTTTGCATAAAGGCTATTTTTAGGTAGGCTCTTTGTTAGAATCCATATTAAGAAACGTTCTAAGTTAACTTGGGATGCAATGGAAAATTAGTCTATTGATAACCATATTTATATATATTAAAGGATTGACAAGCCAGCAAAAATGTCAAAATTCCAAGTTCAGAGGACTTCAAGAGTGTCTATATTTTTTTAACTCATTTGTACTGCCTCTAGAAACCATTAAAGAATGCAACAGATAAAGATTTCATGTCAGCATAAGAGTAAGTAAACCTAGGGGGAGTGAGACATCATTACTATAACTAGTATAATATAACTCTCGCCATTGATTTTTGTGGCAGTCTCTCTTGCACACGCACACACGCGCCTAGCCAGTTTTGTGGCTTCTCACAAAGGGGAGATTAAGACCTCTAGGTGACCACCTATAGATAGGCTGGGTGTTAGAGAAAACGGAAAGGAGGGAAGAGAGTATAATTGTAGAAGAACTGTTTGTGAGGAAGGAGACTGAGCTGGAACATAACCAAGCGGGGTGCACAAGGGAAGTTATGGGTGCACTTGTAACATATCTGAGCCTGAAATTTAGTGGGATGGAGGAGGGACCTGTAGCATGGCCCAGTGGTTGGGGAAAGGAGAAGCAGCCTTCCTAAATTAGAATAGGCACAGTAGAGTTGTAGAGCAAGCATTAATGAGAGGACACCATGGGATGAGCCTTACCTCCTAATCCACTGTAGGCTGGAATGGCTGGCATCTCATAGTATTTCCCCATCCATACAGCCCACCTGCTAACACATCTTCAGCCAGGAATCATTAAGAGGTTGCTGCTCTCATTTCAGTCACCCATCACTGATCAGCTTCAAAGGCTCTTATAAATATGGTTAAAATGCTTAATGCTGATTGCCTGCTTATATGCTATTACTGGGCTCTTAGACTTTACCGAGGCTAAAATTGTTCATTGGAGCAGCGCATTTTAAGCTCATTATCTTAATTACTAAAAAACAAAGTATTCAGTGTACTTTTGATGCAAGAATATTTACTATTTAATTAACAAACAAGCCGAGGCAAAGCTTTACTGAAGTGAATGGTTTTTTGGTGGCAACAGATACTGTATGGCGTGCACATGGCATTCATTAAGTGACTGATATAGGACAGTTCTGACCAAACAGAAGGTCTGAAGCACCTCATTTTTATTCACTAATATGAATGCTAATGGATATTGAACACTATTTTACATTTCTAAATGCAATCTGAATTTTTTTTTTAGGGAGTTATGAGGACCCAGTTGGGTAATCATAGCTTTTAGAACCACCACAAACTGACAGCTTGGATAAAAATAATGTACTTTTCCAGCTTATCAGAGAGTATCTTTCAGTTTAAAGGACATCCCCACAATTACTGAAATTCCTGTCTGTGTGGTGCTTTTTGCATTATCATGCCATTCCATTTCTCAATTATCCAAAAGCCACACTGTACCTTCCATATGAGATATTTACTCTTTAGAACGACTGAACACAAGTTTTATTTGAAGTATTTTTATTAAAAAACTTGAATGATATTAAATTAACATGGCACACATTAAATTAATATAAAACTGGCTGATAGGTCTCCAAATGTAATTGTAAATAGGGAATCATCATCGAACAGATGTGTTTCCAGCAGGGATCAGTTCTTCACCCCGTGCTTTTTCATATTTTTATCAATGACCTGGAAGAAAACACAAAATCAGCACTGATAAAGTTTGCAGATGACCCAAAAATATGGGGGAGTGGTAAACAATTAAGAAGACAGGTCATTGTTTCAGAACGATCTGGATCACTTGGTAAACTGGGCATAAACATTATGCTTTGTAATACGGATTAATGTGAATGTATACATGTAGGAACAAAGAACATGGGCCATAATTACAGGAAGAGGACTATGCGGCGAAGCAGTGAGTCTGAAAATATTTGGGTGTTGTGGTGGATAATCAGCTGAACATGAGTTCCCAGTGTGACACGATGGCCAAAAGAACTAATGGGATCCTGGGATGCACAAACAGGGGAATCTCAAGTAAGGGAAGAGAAGTTACTTTACCACCATATTTGGCACTGGTACGATGGCTGCTGGAATACGGTGACCAGTTCTAGTGCCCACAATTCAAGAAAGATTTGGTAAATTGGAGACGGGTTCAGGAAGAGCCATGAGAATGATTAAAATATTAGAAAAATGCCTCATAGTGATAGATTGAGCTTCTTATTTGGCTTACCAAAAGAAAGGTTAAGGAGTGACTTGGTTACAGTCTGTGAATATCTACATGGAGAACAAATATTTAATAGGCTCGTCAATCTATCAGAGAAAGGTATAAACTGATCTGGTAGCTGGAAATTGAAGCTAGACAAATTCAGAGTGGAAATAAGGTGTACATTTTTAACTGTGAGTAATAAACTGTTGGAACAATTTACCACATGTCATGGTAGATTCTCCATCACTGACCATTTTTTAAATCAAGATCAGATGCTTTTCTAAAAGGATATTTTTCTAGGAATTATTTTGGAAGTTCTATGGCCTGTATTATTGTGGAGGTCAGATTAGATGATCACAGTGGTCCTTTCTTGCCTTAGAATCTATTTAATTATATGTTAAAGCATTTTTTGTTGTAGCTTCATGCATGTTATTTTTTTTAACACATTTTTTATTTACCCATTATTTTGTGACCAGTGTAATTAATGGTTTGGGTCTTTGCAAGTTGATGAGTGGTTCTGACATTCAGCCTGGCCAGGATTACACTAGGGAAAATAAAATATCCACCTAATCTTATGAGTAAAAGAATGAGGAGTCTAAAAAAAATCAGTGTAATGGAAATGAGGCTCACTTACTGATAAAGCTGTTCACATTGTTCATTGGAGTAAAATTGACAAGTTTTTAAAAGATTGTTGAGGTTAAACAAGATGGTATGCAATAACGAATCACTGTAATCTTTGCTTCAGGAGAGCGTTAATCATGTTTAACTAAAACTTCCTTGTTTGCTAGACTTGTACGTTTTGAACATTTCTTAATTAGCATGACCAGTCTGCTGGATTGCTTTGAAAGTTTAGTTTTTTTGCTATCCAGCATTGTTTACTTACGGGAAGACTCATGCAGTGGCAACACCACATTCCAGGCTCCATGGTAATTTACATACTTGGGTCACATTCTGAATTATGAAAGCAGAAATGAATTCATCTAATAATAGAGTACAAGCATACAGATGACTGAAAAGACTGAAATAAATTTGATCCAACTCAATTATGTAATAGGTGGTCAGAAATCAATTTTGCTTTGTTAGTGACGTCATTAATTACTAAATTTCCAAGAACATTCAAGAGACATTAAGGAAATGATACATCATCATAATGGTGGCAGACTACATACAGCTATTCCACCCCCACCCCCCCCAAAGCTCAATTAATATTGCTTGGCCCAGATCTTCACCAACTTCTGTACAGTAAATCAGTCAGGCTCACAGCATGTGTGAACATTTTTCTTTCTCACATCCTCATCCTCCAGCTTTTATTGTCTCTGTCTTCCTCTCATCATAATTTCTAATTTCTAAAACTCTCTTCCTCCTAAAATCATAGCATGATTGATGTTCCCTCATTACCTCCAATTTTCCCATCTTTTCAACAGTGTGCCTGTATGCTGATATAGCCCAGCATGCTATAACACTATCTCATTCTTTAAATAATACTGCTTTATAGAAAGTTACATACAAGTCATTTTCATTATTATAATGGTTTTGCCTTATCTTTAATTGTTTCTCATTAGGTAACTCCTGCCAGCCGTAACTTTGCTTTCAATTAATGCTACGCATTGTGAAATTAGGAACACCCACATGTATGAATACCAATACTGCAGAATGGAAATCACTGATCTAACAAGTGAATAATTTGTTTGAGGAGGAAAAAACTTTGATTAGAAAACCCATTAAAAAAGGACAGAAAAGTCATTGAGCTGTGAATAGTATGAGTAAAATACACCTCTCCTTTCCCTATGAAATAAGGAGACCCTAGTAATGAAGTCAACAGGCCCTCCTTTTCTACAGGTTCGGAGGTGTGTTGATACGGTATGTGATTCTAGAGGTATAGTATTGCAGTTCTATAAGCAGCAAATCCAAACTCCAGTCTGATCACTATCGTGTCTCCAAGAACGAAGAGCCCAAGATTTTCAAAAATGAGGTCTTAAACTTAGGCTCCTAACTCAATACTTAGCCACCAAATAAGTGACCTGATTTGCAACAGTGCTGCTCACTGGGAAGTTCCCACTGACTTCAGTGGAATAGGCTGGGTGCTGAGCACCACCGATAAATACCCTGAAGAAGTAATTTGCATAGCAAGACCTTTTCAGTCTGTGTGACTTCCTGTTATCTACAAACTTCACTGGGATTTACGTGCAGCCCATTGGCATATCAGAGACCAGGCAGCGAACTGACCAAGTCATTGCATGACCTCTGTTTAAAAGGATGCTATGCACGATGAGAGACATCCAGGAAGGTGAAAGAGAGGACATATTTGCCATTTCCTTTTGGTTAAGTAGAAATTACAATAAAAACTCCGGTTCACCAATGAATCTCATTTGTTTTTGGGGAGTAAGTCTCATTGAAATCTCATGCTATTCTTTGCTGCAATATTCATCTGCTGTATATTAATTTCTTCTGACCTGAGATGGTGTCTTTCTATTGTATGGGTGTTTTTCCACACTTAATTATCTTGTATTGTGGACTTTAAAAAAATCTTTAGTTAATGAAGTAATTCAAGGAGTTGAAGTGAGTTAAGTTGATATTTAAAACTGTGTTTCAACATGCATTCCTTCACACACCTAATGTTTCCATCATACAGGATAACATTCAGTTTGTGTCGTCAGTCTGTGTACAAGGGGCCCATTTTGCATGGTATCAAAAAACTGTTTTTAATTAGTATTGTATAATACTTACTTTCTCATCAGAACATTTACTATAAATTCTATGAGATGTCTACCGACAAAAGTTAAATGTTAATTTTTTGTGAATGAACTAGCAAACAATCTAGACAAAATTGTGAGATGAGACTAATTGTAAATTTAAATTTTCATAAGATTAGATTTAGAGGTATAAACTGCTGTCATATACAGAAGTAGTTTATTGGGGGTGGAGATCGAAGGCTTATGAATGTTTCATGTCAATATTTGTCATATGGGCACAAAAGCAAAGTGATTATTTTATTTCATCTTAGCCACATTAGAAAATTTAAATCTAATGGAATTCTTGACAAAGTGATCTAATACTGAAGGGCAGAAGCTGTTGTCAATTGGTTGTATCTTGCATATTGAAATATGATAACTTTAAACCATTTGAATGTTTTGGATTGATTAGTGACTTGAAAAAAAAGTCCATTTGCCTTTATTCTTAAGATATTTCCACTTTCTACACTCAGTATAAGATTAAAAGCCTTTTTCATTTAATAGATGCAGGTAAGATACACCTCTACCCTGATATAATGCTGTCCTCAGGAGCCAAAAAATCTTACCGCGTTATAGGTGAAACCGCGTTATATTGAACTTGCTTTGATCCGCCGGAGCGCGCAGTCCCGCCCCCCCCCCGGAGCGCTGCTTTACCGCGTTATATCCGAATTCGTGTTATATCGGGTCGCGTTATATCAGGGTAGAGGTGTACATGTCAAAACATGTAATGAAAGTCGAAAGTTTTCATCATGACTAATATTTAAAACTGTTCTAGATTCATTAGAAATGAAGTTTGTCAAGTATCTCATGTACAATGTGATATGAAAAAGCTTATGCTTGTTGCCAGAGTGTCAGTTTCAGATGATGTAAGGGTTATGTGTGGAACCCTGAAACTAAATAGCAAGATAGTCTATTTCCTCAACTTTTGTCAAGAGACTCCATTCTTTTTTTTTTATTTTTATTTATAAAAATATTCCTAGGGAAGTAGCAAGTTTTACATAACGAACAGGATTCTGGACTTGACTTAGCAGGTAAATAAATCACTCATTAGCACACCCTCTCAAGGGAAAGTTAATTAAAAGAACCTTGTACTACTTGTAGAAGTACCTGAGATGTTTTGGCTTCATTGGCTACCATTCCTATGGCTGTCATTGTATGTAAGCTTGTCACCATTAGCAGTTATAACAAAGATCTAAAGATCACAATTGTAGAAATATTTAAACCATTGTGTATTTGCTGTTGTTTTTCACTTGTCAGTTTGCTAGCAGATTGTCAAAATTCTAAAGAGTTTGAAATGGATGTAGAATTAACTATTGTCCAAAGCAGCTCATAACCTGCAATTATCTGACAAGTTGCCAAATGAAGTTCATTTTGTTTCTACTGTAACTATCAAGTTGTATATTTCTTATTTACTCAGTAATTTCAAGAATGTATATAGATTGGAAATTAAACTTTTTATAGTTTTTTTTTTTTATTTTTTTATTTTTTATTTTTTTTTAAGTTATACTCATAAGATGAAAAATTTGCTTCAACTGCATTAAAAAACCCTTTGCAATCAGGTTTTATGTTGGTGAAATGAACGTGAGCTGAGAGAGAAAAAGTTACCCTCAACCTAGGTTCAGGCCACTAGGCTACAGTGTAACTTAGGGCAGGTCTTCACTACAGGGGGGGTCGATTTAAGATACGCAAATTCAGCTACGCGAATAGCGTAGCTGAATTCGACGTATCAGAGCCGACTTACCCCGCTGTGAGGACGGCGGCAAAATCAACCTCCGCGGCTCCCCGTCGATGGCACTTACTCCCACCTCCGCTGGTGGAGTAAGAGCGTCGATTCGGGGATCGATTGTCGCATCCCGACGAGACGCGATAATTCGATCCCTGAGAGATCGATTTCTACCCGCCGATTCAGGCGAGTAGTGTAGACCTAGCCTGAATTTCCTTTCTAAAATGGCTACTATTTAGCCTGTATGCTGGAACTATAGTCTTCATTCCTCTGCACCAATTGTGTGGAGTGCTAGGGCCACTGGCCACAGAGATGTGGCCACCCCTTTCCATTCTCTGTACTGGCCTATGAGAAGCTTGTGTAGATACCCCGTCACAGCATGCAGAGAGTGCAGAGGTCCTTCTATACAGCCTCTCCACTTGCAGCTTCTGCTGCACAGCCCCATTAGGTGCTACAGAGACCCTTGAAAGGACCATCTCAACAGCATGAAATTTGCCCTATTTGTGTAATTTGATACGATTATAAAAAAAAAAGCTATTCCATGCTGTTTGAGTTTTATAGGAAGCAAAAAGCGTCAGATAGCGGGGGAGTAGTTCCTTTATGGATTTGTATGACTTGTCCAGAAAAATAGCTATGATCATAAAAATGTTAAGAATATATATAAATTACATCCCCAAAATAACTCAGAGCAATGAGCAATTGTTTGTATTTGAATAATGCAATCTTAAAATGGGGGCTTGTGGTGCAGGTGCAATTGTAACCTGAATAGTAGAAGCAGCGGAATTGTAAACTTCTTTGCTTTGTTTGTTCAGATTGAATTTTGACTATTATATGAATGTATTGTAACTGTATATATTGATGAGTCTTTGTTCATTGCAAACCATAATATAGAAAGTGTTCAGAGTTATTGCCATATTAATGAAAGTTGGGAACTGAGGAGTTCATAACACCGAGAAGTTCTTAAGATTGAACATATCAGAATTACCGGAGGTAAGTTGCAGCATGGGTGTACTGCATCACTTTCTTGTCCTTCAAACCACTGCAAAGAGATTCCCAATGTTTGAAGGCATCGGAATGTGAAGGGATGTTGACTTGTTTTTCCTGGACATCACTTTTTAGATGTGATTGATTTATTATTTTCCAACTGGGAAAAGGGATTCATATAACTGGTTAGTCAGAAGATTGGCTTTCATAAAATCAAGGTCCTGCTGTATTGGGATTTGAATGTTAGTTCTTAGGAAGTTTAAACTCTGGTATCAAAATTCCTTTTTGTATGCCCTTCATAACAGTAGATTTTAATAAATTCATGAGGGCTTCTATTTCTTGTTAAAATATCCTTTCTTATTCCTACATAATTTATTGACCTAGTTTCACATGCTGCAATGTTCACTTTCATGAGAATGTTCTGATCCTTATCTTGCCAGAGTGGCACTATAGCTGTGCAAAGCTTCAAATAACCACTGTTTCTTTTTATGTTGAATTCTGCAAGAGAGAGTATTTTGTAAACCAACAGCACTAGACAACCATACAACAGTTTCTTCTCTGTCTTTTCAGGCACTACAAGGGCTCCCAGGGATGGGGAGGTCCCAGGGGTGGACTATAATTTCATTCCTGTTGAACAGTTTAAAGCATTGGAAGAAAGTGGAGCCTTGCTAGAAAGTGGAACATATGATGGTATGTTACAGAATTTGAACACGTGTACCTACAGTCTTTTATAAGAATGGGAATAAAGACCGGGAAGAATTTAATGGCATTAGTGTCCAGTCTTTGTTTCAGGCTTGGTCTAAACTAGTAACTTATGTCGGTATAACTACATCACTCAGGCTAGGTCCACACTACGAATAGCATAGCTGAAGTTGCGTATTTTAGGTCGACTTACCTGGCTGTGAGGACAGCGGCGAGTCGACCGCTGCCGCTCCCCCATCGACTCCGCTTCTGCCTCTCGCTGTGGTGGAGTTCCAGAGTCGACGGCAGAGCGATCAGGGATCAATTTTTTATCGCGTCTACACTAGACGCGATAAATCGATCCCCGATAGATCGATCGCTACCCGCCGATCCGGCAGGTAGTGAAGACATGCCCTTAGAGGTGTGGAAAATCCACAACTCTGAGTGACATTGTGTCGATGGGAGGGCTTCTTCTATTGACATAGCTACCACTTCTCAGATGGGTGGAGAACCTATGCTGATGGGAGAAGCCCCCCCGTTGGCACAGGTAGCGTCTTCACTGGAGCGCTACAATGGTGCAGCTGTGCTGCTGCAGTATTTTTAGTGTAGACAAGTCCTAAATTTGGATCCTTATACTCGTGAGGCGTAATAGTGCTTTGCAAGGGTAGGGAAGCAATATTATCTCCATTGTATAGTTGGGATAACGATTTATTTTGATACGATTTAATTTGGACCACAGTGGTTGTCTTGTCCCGGCTCGCGCTGTGAGATGGTGACCCACTATTAGAACCCATGTGTCCTGACCTATGTTCAGTTCACTTTAACACCTGTTTCTTTTCCATATCATTGTGCTTTTCAGAGTCATTCTAAAAACTTTTGTGTGTGTTTTTGGTTGACTTTTGCTTTAAATATATTTGTGGTCATAGTTCTGGGTTTTGTGTGAAAAGTTTTCCGTAGCTTTAATTTCTTGCTTAAGAGTTTGGAATAATTTATAATATGTTTAATAAGGTTTCTACTTAATAGTCCACTTTTGTCTTCTTTCTGCTTTTAGTATTTTAGAATAGCCATAATATTTGCTAGAAGCTATCCTAATTAGTTGCTGGCTTTATTTTTATTACTGTTGTGGTGGTTTTGGGTGGTTTTGGTAATTTTTAATGAAAGTCTCTCAGATGAGTATGTTTCTCTAAATATATGATTTTTAGCTTTCATCACTAACACCTGACTCCTTTTGAATTAAAATGTAAATACAATAGATGCCGGTTAATAGCAATCCTGATACTGTCAACTTCCAGTTAATGGCAACATGTTGCTGTGTGAATCAATCCCATCCTATTAACATCAGTGTTAATGGTATTTGACATTGCAACAGTATGCTGCTTAGTAGCAACTTTCTTTTTAAGAAGGGCCCCACCTGCAGGTTGGTTTGTGCAGCTGCAGTCAGGGTAGGGAAGTGCTGGGGCCTGCCTGTTTGGCTGCAGCCCTGCAAACCTGCCTGCAGTCAGTACTCAGACCATTCATCCCAGCGCTTCCTTTTCGGGCTGCAGCTGGGCAAACCTGCCTGCACACAGGGACCACACAAGACATAAGGGTCTGCAGGCTGGAAGGGGAGGTTATGGGCAGGGCATTAGCAGGGAGTGGGCTGCAGCCTGGATGTTAGAGCTGCACAGTACCTCTCCCTGCAGTCTCTAGGCCACTCCCTGCCAGGGGACTGCATGCAGAGAAGGAAGCGCTGGGAAGCACAGAGTACTGGCCCCCCAGACAGCACAGGGAGAGGTGCGGTGCAGCCTCATGGGCACTGAGCACCCCTGGTCTCTGCAGAAAGCCTTGTCATGCAGGCTGCCTCCCTCCACATTGCTGCCCTTCCCGTGGTCAGGGTTGCACCCAGAGAAGGCATGTCCCAGCACTTGATTTCGCTTGTCGTGATTATGACTTAGTGTTTCAGCCAACCTGGATCTGAATACATTATAAACATTACTCCTGGGGGGATTCTGCAGGACTGCGCTCCCGCAGAAAATGGCCCTCCCCCCGCGTGTTTCCCTGCAGAAAACTGCAGGGAAGTAAAGGGAAGCCACGTGGTTGGGGGGTGACCATGGGCGCAGTTTTTGGGGGGGGTTGCCCCCCTCCAAACAGAAGGAAGTCATGGGGGGACACAGGGTTACATGTCACTGCCCCGCACTCATTCTGCAAGCGCAGAGCTGCCCATTGAACCCTCACCCTGACAAGCCCTACACCTAGATCCCTTCGAGCCCCCCCATCCCACTGATCCCCAACCAGCTGCACCTGGACCCCCACCCCATCAAGCCCCACTCCCCCAGCACCCAGACCTCCCACTGAGCCCCCCACAACCTGACCCTCCTGCTGAGGCCCCCTCCAAACCCCAACCACCTTCACCTGGATACCTTGCAGAGTCCCATTGCCCCTGCCACCGGAACCCTACCAACGAGCCTCTGTGCATCCAGATCTCCCACTGAGCCGCCCCACACCTAGATCCCCCCCGACACTCAGGGCCGGCGCAACCCATTAGGCGACCTAGGCGGTTGCCTAGGGCACTACAATTTGGGGGGCGGCGACCGCGGCGGTATTTCAGCGGCAGGACCTTCCACCGCCTCTGTAGGGAGCGGCATTTCGGGGCGGGACCTTCCACTGCCTAGGGGGGCAGAAAAGCTGGCGGCACTCCTGCCCCCACTTGGATCCTGCTGGACTGAGCCTGCCCACCCACACCTGGTGCACCTGGCACAGAGGGGCAGGGCCCTGGCGTGTTTCTGGCCAGGCCCAGCCCTTGTACTCTGTCAGGGTCTGGTGCAGCCTCACTGCCAAGTCTCTGTACTGGGGGAGGTGGGAGCTTCAGGTTGATCTCCCACCTCAATGCAGCCAATGGCCTGTGCTCCCCATTGCCATGCTGGAGCCACATGTATTTATTGACAAATACAATTTGCAGAAATTTGCAGAATTTTAAAATATTGTGCGCATAATTTTTTGGTGCAGAATTCCCTCAGGAGTAAAACATGTATAGACATGCGTACACAATACTGCTTCTTTTGGTAGAAACGTACAAATCACAACCTTCCCATGTGATCCATCCTCTTCTTAATTAAGTAGCTGTAGACTCACACATGATTTTGTCATAGCTAGCATTAACTGTGATCTCTGGATCAGAGAACTTGTCTTCTGTTATTGGCCCATTTTTAACACTTCTGCACCCTGACATGAGTTTTCCACAGTTGATACCCTTCTGGACAGAGTTACTTTTCCAAGCTTTCTGCACACTGTACCAATGTTCTCCATGCATCTAAGTAGGATTCAAAGGCAATCTGATCCACATAGCCCCTTATGTCCTGGAGTCCAACTGAATTCAACAGGAGAGCCTGCAAATCTTCGGATATCTGCTTTATATCCGCGGATGGATGCAGATCCAAATGTTCTATCTAGAGGCCTGCGTATGTTTGCGGATCGTGGATCGGATGCGGATACAAATTTTGTATCTGCTCAGAGCTCTAGTCAACACAACTACACAAATCCGATTACAGAATCGAAGCCTGAATTGGGAAATTCATTTTGTGCTGCTAAGCATGCTAAGTCCTTTAATTACCATCACACCTTTTGTACTTGTAATTGTAAATTCTTCCCCATTTGGATGTACCATTTATTTAATTTTATTGTCTAAAATATCTGCAATCTTAATTGTGTCCTCGTTTTCCCTTTTAATTGTAGTTTGTGTGTATTTCACCAAGAAAAGCCTAATGTGGCTGGCTCCCATTGGTCCTTCAAGCTATTACATGGTTTCCTTCTCTTCTCTTCTCCTGTGCACACGCATTGCACTGCCATGGATCTTTCTCTGAATTCTCCCACTTTCTCCAGAGGCCTCTTCCCTGCCTGCTACCCTGTTCTTCTGGGTTTTGTTTTTTTGCTTTTACACTTCAAGCCTGCTGCCGTGGTTGCTGTTTGGGTCTTCTATCTCTATTGTACCTCTGTTCCTACTAGGGGTCTGGGAATCTAAGGATAGGAAGGAAGGAGTAATTGTAGTGCGAGTAGACGTATGCGTGCTAGCTTTAAAATAACTAGCGCAGGTAACAATGACAGTGAAAACATGGCAGCACGGATCCCAGCATAGGCCTGCAATCTGAGTATGCCCTACAGTTCCCCAGTGGACTTGTACTGTTCTGAAGCCCATGCCTCCATGTTTTCACAGCTGTTGTTACCTGCACTAGTTAGATTAAAGCTAGCACAGGTAGGCCTACCTATTGTTACAATAAGACACTGATTTGTGGTGTTGACATATCTTAAGTGGCTGCCTGTGTGTGAGTGGTTATGGTTAAAAACTATTCTAAACATAGGGCCACAGGAAGCAGTTAACATTAGAAATATGTTCTAATATTTTGTTAAACTGTAGCCAAATAATCATGAGTTTATTCAGGTCAGACCAGGCTTTTCTCTTTCGGTATGAGTTACTGAAGTTATTTTTCCTGTTTCCACCCTGAGCAGGAATCCTCAGTCACTAGGAAGATGAAAAGTATTAATGGACCTAGCCAAAGTATTTAACTAGGCATAGAACTAACTAAAATATAGGAGTGATATGGTTAATATCCTTTTGCTCAAGGACCAGGCAGGCATTGGCTCTGTTCTTGAAGATAAAGGCTACAGTAGCTAAATCAATGTCTCAGATGTAAATCCTTTTTTATAGAACATCATAACCTGGCTCCTCTTAAGTTTTCCTCTGGATTGAAACCTGGTGTTGAAGGTTTCTAATCAGGAACAACTTATTTTAAAATATATATACAAGTTGTAAAATATGTTTTTACAATATATTTAAAACATCCTTGTTTAAGGTACCCTTAACTCAAATAAATGATTTTTTTTCCCCAAGAAAAATCTGGCATGCATATATAAAAATATATATGAAAACTAAAGTAAAAAGGCTATTTTTATGCATAAAAATTTTCCACTAGAAATATCTGTATTAATATAGATTATGTAAATTTCAAGTGATTACCTCAGTGACTAAAGTTTCTTCAAGAGTAAACAGTCTAGAAATTGTATGAAACCGTCTGTGTAAAAGATTATGAAACTTGTAAAGAACTATTATGATTTATTGGACATTTTCTTGAGATTTAATTCTTCCCTAATATGAAAAATAGAATAAATGAAAAGGTATACTACTGTTAAAATAACCAAAAGAAGGAAATTCTTTGAGCGGCTCTCTAAGCCAAGCTCTTTTGATTGTGCCGTGGTTTTGCTGCACATACAGTATGCACAATTGCCCAGCATCTGGAGATCCCCTCAGCAACTAGACTTTAACAAGCCAGGCTAACCAAAGCTTTCACCTTAACTCCCATTTTCAGTTGAAGCCTGAAAGGTATTTGAATATAGGGGGTTTTATTTAATATTTTATGCAGTCAAAACAAAATCTATCTACCAAATGTTAACCCAGCAGGAGTCCTGCTAAGCTCTGTGCTCAACTCCCTAATTAAAATCACATGATTAATTAAGAGGAGAAAGCCAGTTATTTAAATTCTGTTTGAGCATTTATTTTATTGGAAAAAAATGCTGATCCTTTGAACTTATACAACATATTAGGATCAAAATATTTTTCAGTTTTCTCAGGTATAATTCAGTATTGCATTGATTTATTAGTAGCTCTATTGGGTAAGAAAATTATAAGATGAAAACATAGGATTACAGCTCTAAGAAATCATTTTTTAAAATTGCTTTTGTGCAAATGATATTTCGTGTTTCAGCACAAAATGAATTTGCTTTTTAGCTTCAACCTGCCTACAGGCTGCAAATTACTCCAGATTAGTTAATTACTATATGCTGTACATTAGAACAGAAATTATTTTGGTTTTCAAGGTAATCCTCCACTTTACTCCTACCAAACTCTGCTATAAATCTCATTCTGGAGCATTAGTGAATGCAAGGTAAAATAACAAGTCAGTCTCTTGATTTGGAAACCTGTGTAGAGCAGCCACTTTGGAATTAAATGCATTATACCCAGATGCACAATGACAGCATTAGCAGAAATACAGTGTAGCTGTAAATTCCAGTTTTTGAGCATTCATCAGTTACTGATAATGCTGATGTCTTAAGTAGTGTAGTAAATTACCTTTTCATTCATGTATTTCACAAAACTATGTTACTGTGGCAGTAGAATATGTACTGTGACTTGAGTCATTCCTGTGACTGTAGAGATCTTTACCAGATATCACTGCTTCTATTTTGTACCATTTGTTTCTTAATGCCAGGTAATTTCTATGGTACACCAAAGCCTCCAGCAGAGCCCAGTCCCTTTCAGCCAGACCCAGTGGATCAAGTTCTTTTTGACAATGATTTTGATGCAGAATCCCAGAGAAAAAGAACCACGTCGGTCAGCAAGATGCAAAGAATGGATAGCTCTCTCCCTGAGGAGGAAGAGGAGGAAGAAAAGGAAGCAGTTAATGGCAGTGGAGGTGCAGGTCAGTTACAAGGGGAGAAATTCCTGACTGCAGTCAAGATTTTAATCAATCAAATTGTTACTCTGAAATTTTCAGATTAACTTGGGTAGGAGCACTGTCACATGATCTGAAAACTAGGGGAAGGAATGTGCAGAGCAAGTGATAATGAAGAACAATGCATTGAGACTGGAACAAGGTGTCCAGTGGGATGTTGCAAAGATTAGTCTGAGATCCTATTCTTTTTAACATCTTTATTATCTCAAAAGGGGGACAACCAGCACATTACATTTGCAAATTGTGCTGCATCTAGGCATTTCTTGGAAGTCACCCATTCATGTACAGATCTGGCCTAGTCCTGTTTACCTTCAGAGCTGAAAGAATCAGAGCTCAGGTGATGTGGCTGCAGTCCATATTAATTTGTCACAAATACAGAATTGTAAAAGTGAGGTTATTGGCAATGGTTTCTAAACCAAAGTGCTTAAATTCACACAATTTAAAACCTGCTGCACTGTTGTTTTCCTTGTATCATTCATTGTGGTTCTTGTACCATGAGTCTTGATACACTGAGAGGGATGCTGGTGTGGATTCTCTAATGAGCAGTACAAATGCTATTCTCTTTGATAGGAAATGCAGTAAGTAGTCTACCTAGATGAGTTCCAGTGTTGTTTTTTCAGTCTAGGCTCAAACAAGTATGAGGTTAATGCTGTTTGGCAAGGGAAGAACAGAACTCAGTGTGTTCACTTCAGTTTTTTAAAGTTCACAGCAGAAAAAAATGTAATAGAAAAATACAGATGAAATACAGTGGTGTTTGGCATTCTCTCATTGTGAGAACAAAAGGGGTGGTTCTCTGTGAGCAAAGCAGCATGAAAAGCTTAACCGTAACACTTTGCTTTAAACAACTTCAGAAAACCGAGAGAGACATTCAGATTCTTCTGACTGGATGAAGCCTGTTCCTAGTTACAACCAGACAAGCAGCTCCATGGATTTCAGAAATTACTTGTCAAGGGATGAGAGCCTAGAGCCTCTACCCAAGAACTGGGAGATGGCCTACACAGAAACAGGCATGGTCTACTTCATAGAGTGAGTAGAAGTTTGTATCTTTATAGATTTAATGTACCTTCCTGAGATGCATGAGCTCTAAGAGTCTCTATAGAGATTTCTGCTGATTTTATATATCTTCCTTCTTACCCACTTTTTATTGCTGAGGTCTTTGCATGAAAATATAATCTTCTGGCTTTGAAGTCGCAGTCTGTTCTCACTCCATGATCCTCACCAAATGTCACCAGTTTTGTGTGTTTGATTTCACAGTGGTTCCTGTGAAGATTATAACAATGTCACTTAGAGAGGACAGTGATGTTGATTTGAGGAATAAGCTGCGGGAATTTTATTTTCATATATCTATATCTATCATAGTATCCCTACTTGGTGTCACCAGCATTTTCATCCAAGTAGCTTTTCCTGTCTGTCAATCTTCATAGATGGATACTTGCACAGGTATCTTAGCTACCATATATAGGGACTTCAGTATAGTGTTTATTTTCATGGGGAAAATGCAGATAGGGAAAGAATCCATGTAAATGCTATTAGTATGATAGTGTTTTGTGTATCTGAATAAATTAGGTGTGAAAGCACAGTGGTTCCAGCTACAAAGTCAGCTAACTTATTTATGATGTGCATTCTGTATCACACAGAATGCAAAGCTCAGGTTCTGTGTTGATAGCTGGATATGGGTCTAATTTTATGTGTACTTTTACTCTGCAAAATTTCATTGTAATCCACGGGATTTCCCTTATTCTCTCTGCTCTGCCTGCGATCTCTGGTATGAAATGGAATGTGAAAAGCAGCTATTAGAATGTGTAATAGTCTGTTTCATGAATTGTAAAGCATCAGATTACACTGATTGCTAAGCATAGGCAGAAGTTAAGGGTTTTTTCCTCCAAGGTGAAAAGTGTCTGATATCCTCAAAATGATTTTTTTTTGTAGTTGCTTCAATGGTAAATGTATGAAAGGCTTTGTCATACTTTGTACACAGAAAAAAATATTGGATGGAGAAGAACTTTATGCTGAGACTGTGCCACCTAATGCAGATTTATAGGACAGAGTTAGAAATCCCTGAGTAAATGGGTTTATAATCACAGCGTCAATAGACCTGAGATAAAACATGGTTTCTGGATAACTCTGCTCATTTATGTTACTATGTTATCTCAGAGTTAACATGTACCATATGTTCCTGCAGTGCAATGATAAGTACTACTTGTCATGGAAGAGCAAAATCACTAATCTTGCAAACTCACTGGCAATTTCTTATGTGCTTTGGTTCAGAGTGGTAGCAGCCTTTACATCTACATTCATATTGTGACTTTTTAAAATATTGGTTTTCTGGAATACTTACGTTGTATTAACTTTTTAACAGCTATAAGATGCTCTTTTAGGTCTTATCAGTTTTTCTCCATTACTTTTCCCATGGCTCTTTTCATGATCAACCTATTTTAGAGGTGGTGTCTGACACCTTATTAAAGAGCACAAAACTTTTCCTATCTATGCCCCATAATTACATTTTTAAAACCAGGTAAGGGAAAAGTTTGTATTTTGGGTCTGTTCTGATGAGAACCAAAAGAGACAGGTGTATTCAGTGTGCTCTTATTTCATTGGTTCTGTTCTCTACTTACATATACCTCTACACAGTTCTGCAGAGCTCTTGAATTCAGCTCCATGCACAAGTTGCATTGACTATTGAGATATCCAATATTTTTTGATAGATGAAACCTAGGCTTACCTCACTCCCAACAAACCTGCTACTTTTAGGGCTGGTCCACACTAACCCCCCACTTCGAACTAAGATATGCAACTTCAGCTACGTTATTCACGTAGCTGAAATCGAACTATCTTCGAACTTACCGCGGGTCCACACGCGGCAGGCAGGCTCCCCCGTCAACTCCGCGTACTCCTCTCGCGGAGCAGGAGTACCGGCGTCGACGGCGAGCACTTCCGGGATCGATTTATCACGTCTAGACAAGACGCGATAAATCGATCCCAGAAGATCGATTGCTTACCGCTGGACCCGGAGGTAAGTATAGACGTACCCTTGGAGTGAAACTGTGTAGACTGTGGCTGTGAACACGTACCTTTGAAATATTTTTGACTGCTAAGAAACGTTTGCACCGCTGTAACCTCCCATGTCACGGTGGTACAGAAGATCCTCGAGTATGTTGGTAGTTATTATATTTAAGTGGTACCTTTCCTTGGTCGCATTTTTGATGTGACAGAGGTGAGAACAGCAGGTACGCTGACCTAGAGGCAAAGATTTGCATGTGGAAGGAAATTTATGAAGAGAAGTCCTAAGTATAATAGGTTAAATCCATTCATTGGGAGTCTCTTTCGTGTCTCTCCCTTTATCTCCCGCTGTTTTTCTGCTCCTCATTCGGTTGTCCTATATTCCGCAGTCACAACACCAAGACAACCACTTGGCTTGATCCTCGGCTCTGTAAGAAAGCCAAAGCTCCTGAAGACTGTGAGGATGGAGGTGAGATGTTCAGAATTCTGTCTGTCTGCTATATGTAATGCATGTTTGGATGTTGTTTTTCCTACTTGAAAACCAGACTCAAATGGTGTCCAATTAGCATGTTGTCGGTAGAGTTTATGAAGGCACGAAGTATGGCTCTGGTAAGAGTTTTGTTTCAAAGACTTCTTTTCTTCTTTGCCATTTGGGACTAACCAGACAGATCAATTGTACCTTCAAATGCAACCTGGAATAGGAGTTTACTTATGCTCTTGTTTCAAGGTCAAGTTCATCTGAAACCAAATAGAATTCCTAATAAATCGGATGTATTCGCTTGTTTACCAACCAAAACTAGTCCTGAGTCCTGTGGAACTGGCTATCTAGTTACTTTGACTTGGTTCTTGAAGGGACTTTCTGTGGGATTTGGCAGTAATGAATCCTTAAGCACTTTGGAAAGTCTTTTCCTTATGCATATTACATATTTTATATCAAGTTCCTCTTCAGGGAGATCTAGGTCGTTCCTAAGAATGTCCTCTGCACTGATGGGAGAATTAAGTTATTCGGGGGTCTTCGGATAATGCTGTTTGTGACTGTCTGATGTCCCATATGGAGTCACTTCCAGGATTCTTTACAATTTGATAAGGTCTATCACTGCCAAGACAGAAGTTTCTGCCTGAAGTTCATAATTTTTATTCTTTCTACATTATTCTGAAACCATTAGGGTATGGAGTTAAGTGCCTATGGCTTGGCAGCAGCGGTAGGAAGACTGGGCTTGAGAGCGGCTTTAGTATATTTTCACTGGAACAATGGAGTTTAAGTGAATTGTGGATACACACGAATTCTGGAGAGCAGAATGACACATTTCTTGGTTCTAAATTTGCTGTAACCACTGAGGGGAAAGACCTGGGCATCTTTGTAGACAGCTCAATGAGCACCATTGTTCAAATGTGCAAGGGAAAAGCCCCCAAATACTAGAAGGCATAGATGATGGGCTACAATGTAATACTGAAAGTTCAGCCTTGTCACTTTATATCAGTGGTAGACTCTCACCTGCAATAATCTGTTCACTTTCCGGTTGAGAGAAAGAAGTGACATTTTGATAGAATAATGGAAAAGCTTTTGAGGACAATGTGGAAAAAATTAGGGATACAATACGTGTACAAAATAACAAACAGTAAACCAAAGGTAAATCAGGTGCTCCCTTTTACCCACTGTCCTAATACAAGAACAAGGGCACGTTGAGTTAAATTGAAGGTGGCAGATTTAAAACCGATAACGGTAAATACAATGTATAATTAAGCCATGAAAAACTCATTGCCACAAGAGATTATTGGGGCCAAAATCTTAATAAAATCTTTACAAGAATTGGACAATAGTATGAATGAGAAGATCCAATTACATTAGATATAATTTTTTTTTAGAAGGGATATAAATACTCATGCTTTAAAGCATAAGCAACCCCTAACTATGTTTAGGAAGAAACTTCATTGTCTAGTAAGACCATCCTCTGAAGCTTCTGGTATTGGTCATTGTTGGAGACAGGATACTGGACTATGAGGACTGCTAAGATAAATGGTAGTCCCAAAGTGAAGAGATGGAAGAGCCTTTGGACTTCATATGAATTGACCCTTAATTGGGCCAGGTGCAGGAGGTGCAAACCAAGCTACAAGGCTTGGGAATGAGGCTGCACAAGAATAGGTGGCTTTATTGTAGGAGTATTTTTAAAATCTCTGAAGCAGTTGCACGTTTTAAGCGTCAGTGTCCCCTTATTTCCATTTAGGGGAGAGCCCTAAAATATAATATAAATAGTTTATAATCAAGATAGGTATCTGTATTAGCTAGTTTGAAAATAATTAGCCTCTTTTTAGATGCTAGAAAATACGATAAGATTTTTAAAGAAATCCTCACACTGTTCTCTTCTCTCCCTCTGGCATCTCAACCATGTCTAAATTAATTTGACTTAAACATTTCCCTGTTGTCTGGTTTCATATGGATAATTTTTCAACAGAAGTGCAAGTCCCTGATATGTGGAAGTGCCCTGGAGAATTCATTTTGCCTAAGCTGTCTCATGTCTCCCTATGATGGCAGAGCTTAAACCTTCACTAAATAAAGCTTAAAGTGGGCTGAACGCTGACAGTATTTTACTGCTTCATAGAATGACAGAGATGTTTGAGAATCATAATCTAAGCAGGGTTCCATGGTTAAAGTACTTGTCAGTCATGCTTTTTCTTCAAGTAAATTCCTATCCGTTAAATAGAGAAGAGGTAAAAGCCAAGCTGCAGTACCAAACTAGCTACCTAGTTTTGTTAGTAATGACTCATTGCTGTTGGGACTGCATTGTTGAAATTAATGTGGCTGGCAACTGGTGCTTTAGTTCCACGGAAAGATGCCTTGTTGTTCTGCAGTTGCTGTTAGGGGAAGGAGGAGTCAGAGATTTTTGTCCTGTGTGTGGCAACGCTTGCACTCAGCCTGTTCCCCAGAGATACAGAATTTCCATAGCTAATGATTCTTAAACAAGAACACTCTAATCCTGACCCATACGTGTATCATCATCTGTAGCATTCCCATTGATCATAGCTGCCATGTTGAGTCAGAGAGTGAATTTGTCTGTGAAATGTTGGTCTAGACCAGGGGTGGGCAAACTATGGCCCAGGGGCCGCATCCGGCCCTTCAGACATTTTAATCCGGCCCTCAAGCTCCCGACAGGAAGTGGAGTCCGGGGCTTGCCCTGCTCTGGTGCTCCAGCCGGGGAGCGGGGTTGGGGGCTTGTCTAGCCCATTCAGGGCTTTAAAGAGAGAGGCTAGTACCAAAACTGTATCAGCATTCAGACCACAGTTGTCACTAGCAATATCTTGAACTAACTTCCTTCCGTCCAGATTCCCATTTCCTTAAGAGAGTGCAGTAGCAGGGATACAGCATTGTTTCCATTTTAATATGGAACCCTTAATTACTTCAGTATAATATTTTTCATACTAAATCCAAGAAACTTCTAGTCTTACTTTTCAGTTCTCTTGCACCCCAACTGGCTTTTTAAAAATCATGCATATTCGCTATCTTCTCTAATATGGGACAATGCAGGGAACTGATGGGCTGGCTGGCAGTAGGTAACTAAGGGTGGCCCTCTATCATAATTTATGATTGTTTGGGAAGAGTGTAGGAACTGACTTACATTTGTTTCTGTTCACCTCTTGCATCAAGACTTCACATTGTGAATCCAATCTGTGAGAATGTTGGTGGTAATCAGCCTACAGGCAAATCCTGCAGACATTTGCAAGGCAGTGGTGCAGTGTAGCCAGCCAATAACATAAAAATGTACAGAGAAGCAGTCTCTGCAGCAAACATCTCCTGAGTTACAAGAGTCAATAGGCGCTGAGATGAGACTGAAAACAGCCTCTCATTCTCCTAAATCTATTCTTAATGAAGCCAGCTTGAGCCACTGCCTCATACTGCTGCTTTATTAAACATATGTGAAGCCCACCACTGGGAGAGGATGGGATTAAAAAAAGGCATTTTAAAGAGAAAGATGCAGGACATCCTAATGAACAGCACTTAAACAAATAGTCCCACTGGGGCATTTGTCAAGTTCTGCTGTGCTGTACTGATATTCATAATTGGTAACATGCTGCCACATGCTAAGAAAATTCCTGTTACCTTCAAGCCTGGGGCAGCCACAAACAACAAACAAAATAATTACACAGAAATCTTACCCTTCAAAACAATCCAGACATCTGAAAGAAAAATAAAAGGCAATTTGTGTTCCAAATGGAACAATATTTCCATTTTGTCTTAACTTTCACACCAAGCTCCTTTCAAACAGCTTTTCCATATTTACTTTTCTGTGGTCAAATTAGAGTAGCAAAGCTATAGCAATCAGGCCCCTGTGGTGACAGCTCATTGCATTCAACCAGTAATGCTCTGATTCTAGCAGCCATCCTACAAGAATTTGAATTTAGTTCAGAAACGAGGGAGCTTTCTGATTTTTATGCTGTTTCGATATGAATGTTTATTTTGTAAGGATTTAATTTCATTTTGCACACAATTTTCAGAATATGGGATCATTAGTTTTCCTCTAGATTTGTTACTCTGGAGACTTGGATTCAAATCATAACAAACACAAATGGAAATGAGTTTGGGGATGATATCTTTTTAGTCCTCATTTGTCCTTGTCACCACTGTACTGCCTCTTTGATTCTGATTCAGGAGCCTAGGTGTAAAGTAGCAAGTGATGTAGGTCAGGATTGCAGTGCATTGGGAGAGCGAGGTGGGGAATCTGACTGGAATATTGCAGGTCTGGCTTGAAATGCATTGGTGTTAAGGGGATGTGTGTGTAAAATTGGAATAACAAGGGGGTTGCAGGTCAGAATTTAGGTCCCTTGGCAGAGGTTTCTGGAAGCACCACATGACTGGAATAGCATGGTCCTACAATTCAGAGCTGAGATGGATTGAAAGTGCTTCTTTGGGAAAAGGTTCAATATCTCGTTTCCACTCTATGGGTTAGCCATAGACAGTGCTATCGTATAGTTACAGATTGGGGAGTTAAAAACAGAATTACACAAATGAAACTAGTTATTTATAATTAATTGGCTTAGTCTAATAAAATGAGACCTATGTCTTTCTTTTCCTCCTTTTGTTACTTAAGATATTTCTGTGCTTCACTTTGAAGCTTGTTAAAACTTAATTTTTTTGTTTAAATAAAATGCAAGTCCCTCCTCCAATGGACCAGTGAGTACAAGGGGGCCCATTTTCCCTCTGGGAAATGCAAGCACTCAATTCATGGGAATATATAAATTGCTTTCATATTTCCAACAGTCAATCCATAATCTCTCCACTCATTTTTTTTTTTCCACGTGAACTTTGACATTTTCAAATACTTTTCCATTATTGTGCAGAATTTTGTTCATTCTTCTGTTCTAATTACAGAACTTCCTTATGGCTGGGAGAAAATAGAAGACCCTCAGTATGGAACATACTACGTCGAGTAAGTGTTTACACCAATTATTCACTTCATGTGGACATCAGATATGGTAGAGAACAATGAAACAGTTGATATGTAATAAATGCAAATTGTAATGCAGCTAATTTAATGACTATGTATCCACTGTAAATTAAGGGCCAGTTCTGGTGGCCGTAACTGAATTGTGCACTATTCCTATGAGTTAATATGTAAGATGATAATGTGTGTAGCTTCCCTTCACACTAATTGAGATACATCCATCTATCATCTAGAGGGGAGGAATCAAGTAGTAACCACTTCCCTGGGCTGGAAACCAGAGAGCAGCAAGTAAGCAGTAGGGTTCACTTTGCTTCTCTGCCTCACAAATGTCCATGTGATTTTTCTTGTATAACTAAGAATTATGTTAGTTTATTACCACAGTAACTTTATCTGGCATTAATGACTTTGCCCAAGTGGTTGAATCTCTTTCTTAATATCCTTATTGTAATAACTGAAGATGCTGAATGTTGTATGTTTAAAGAGATCAGAACATGTCTCTGTTCTGAAATACCTTTAAAATGGAGCCTCTCAATTAAAACACTTGATATTCACAAACCAGCAGGAAATTGCTTTCCCCTCATCCTTGGGCTCCAAAGCAGCACCATGTAGCAGAAAATCCCTAACTTACTGTAACTGGCTTTCTTATTCCTCTTCAACTCAGGCTGAATGAAAACTACCTTCAATCATCAAGAGAAAAATTAGCAGAGAATTGAAAATATTAGCATTTGTTTGAAAAACGTTAGTGAGATCTCTGCAGAGCCAGCACTGTTGTTTTAATATTGTCCAGGCTAATAAATATTTTGATACTTCAGCTCTGCTTTCATATTTCAGTGTTTAGCAACAAAGGCAACAAATACCATGGATATATGGAAGCAGCATCCATTTCATGTCAGGAAAAGAAATAAATTTGTTTTGCTAAGCAGTTCTCTTATTGCCCAATATTATGGTCTACAGCGGCTCTTTTGAAATGTGCAAAGTGGTGTTAAAATAGATAATATGCTTATTACTCAGAGTTCATCCTGTCACTCGAAAAGCAGCCTCAAAAGTCAAGGCTGAATTGTATAGTTGTTGAGTTTCTGTTTTGAGTATTGAGAAATTAGTAGTTGGAGTATGCTTCAAAGGGTTAATCTTTGAGCTCCTCATGAGGAGATGGTTGGTCCTGCCCCTGAACAGGAAACTGGCATTGTCCTGAATAACTAGTTAACAAGATACTTGAATATTTGTAACCAGGTTTTCTTTCCTGCTGTGTTAGTTGAAATTCCTTTGGTTTTGATAATCTGATTTTTCATCATAATTGTTTTCTTTTAATTTTTCTCTGTTTAGATAATGAAAATAGGCTACTCATTTTCACTTTCTTTGCTCTCATGAATTAGCACAATGCTGTTGTGTTTGAGTTGCATATACTACAAGGGAACAAGCTATTAAGATTTAGGCTTCGTATAACTTTTTAAATTAAACTTTACATTTTAGTTCTCAATTGCAATTACCCTTTGAGAGAAAGGAGCAGAATATATGGATTTCTGTAATTTAATAGCTGTGATGCTGACCCTTAAATATATATACATTCTAATAATATAAACATTAGAATTCGGACAGTCACAAGGGAATGAAGATTTACCACCCCCCAAAAAAAAAGTAAGTTTTTTCAACATTGAGCTGTCCTTTTATGTTTACTCTTTTGCTGAAATGAAGCAATGTGAGCTTGCACATTGCAACATTCTTTGATACAGTATGGTAATCATTATTAGGGATCTGACAATGTTTGGCAATTTAATCAAGGAGAATTTTACATTTTTATTAATGCAAAGTTACAATAAAATGTTAACTTACTACATTGTACATTACTTATTACTTATTCAGGATCAGGTTAATATTCATAGAGCCTGACTAAAGGAGCTGGCTTGCTGGCTGGGGAGCCCTCCTCCATTTAGAAATTTGGTCACCCATCTTCTTTTTGGCACTTCTCTTGTGTACATACTTGGTGTGAAAGCTTTTCCATTACAAGGACAGTCCACATTTTACTATACCAGAATTCCATAGAAGTCACATTTTTCAAATAATATGCAATATAAAGTTTTGCTGCTAACAATAAAAAGGAATTAATTCGTATTTCTATTTAAAAAGTAGGTCCTTTACGGAAGCATTAAATAAGCAATCAGGGGATCTCTGGGAAGCTGGCCTTTTTCTTATAAGGTTAATCTCTTTAATAATTTCCTCTGCAAACCATCGAATTTCTGGACACACCCACCAAATGTGCAAGTATGTTCCCTTATCCCTGCAACCCCTCCAACAGAGTGCCTCCCTAGTAGCAAAAATACAGTGAATCCTAACTGGAGTCAAATACCAACTATACAGTAATTTGTAAACATTTTCTTTGTGAGCTACACAAATTGAAAATATATATCCACTTTCCCATATAGAGACGCATTCATCTAGATCAATTTCTTTGTCCAGATCTCTCTCCTATCTTTTCATCTGGGTTGTTTTCCTATCAACGTCTTTTTCAATCAAAATTGAATACATCTTAGAAATTAAACCCTTTGTTCCAGTTTGCACCTGGGTCAACTCCTCAGCTGTGTTTAAAGATCTAGATAGAACCGTCTTGTATCCAGATTTCACAATAAGGTGTTTTGACTTATAAATACTGATACAGGATCTTTCTATTATTTACTTTATTACATATCTCTTGGTATGATCTTAAATCAGGACCCTGGAACAGCAGTCCAAATTGAGGAATATCCGCTCTTACCCAGAATGAATAATCACTTTGATATTTCCTAGAAATACATTTGTGATTATTAATGAAAATAGCTAAGGGAGAGGGCTTGGCGACAGGAATTTTAAAAAGCTAAGGTGGGCTGGATGAATGGGTGGCTTTTATTTTTGGTGATCTAAATTTCTTTTGAACCCAACAATTACTATAAATAATTGTTTGGGCTACAGTCTTATTTGAGCTTTACCCAGTGTTTGGATGGTCTGTTAACCCTGTTGATCATATCTTTTAATTGCAATGCATAATAATAAGAAGAAGCCAAATTAGGAACTTTAGAACTCACCCTTTGTCTTTTATGATTCCCATATGAATTTTAATAGTGCATCTTGCTCTGGTTTTTAATGTCATGTCAGGGATACCAGTAGGGCGATGCACTGAAACAAAAATAGTAACTTGGGGAGGACATTCATCTTTACTGAGGCTACACTATCTTGCCAAGAAATTTCGTATTTGTTCGAGTTCTCCAAATCTTTTATTTTATGCCAAAGTGGAAGGTAATTTGCTTTAAAAAGATGTTTGTTTCTCCACAATATTTATTCCTAAATATTTTAAAGATTCCTTTACCCATTTAAATTTAAGTAGCTGACAACGGTTTGTTTTGACCCTTTGGGAATATTAATTTCTAAAATTCCAGATTTATCATAGTTTTTGATGCCTGATGCCGGCTCAAATTCCAACATCAATTGTTCTATAATTTTTAATTATGCTTCTGGATCCTGCAAATATAATAGGATATTGTCAGCATATAACACCACTTTCTGTTCTAAACTTGAAGACGTTCTGATGCCTTTAACCAAGGGGCTGTTTCTCACATATATTGCAAATGACTCCATTGCCAGAATAAACGGGGGGCAGCCCTGTCTTGTACCCCTAGACAAATTAAAAGGAGGGGATTGAAGTATACAGGCCAATAAGAGTATAAAACTGGTTTCCAAAACCAAACCTTACCAAAATCTGTCTGAGGTTCTCCCACTGCAAAAGTTGGTTTCTCAACATCCAACAAAACCAGTGCATAAGAAGAATTGCTAAAATTAACACTATAGATGAAATTCAGAGTAGTTCTGACATTACCAGATAGATGCCTGCCAGCAATGAACCCACCCAGGGTGAACACATTTGGGCAAGATGACACTCAGTCTGTTTGCTAGCACCTTGGCATAAATTTTAACATTCGTATTAATTAAAGAAATATCACAGTATGATGCACAGTTGGTAAGACCTTTTCTTTGTTTAGGAATGACCACAATTTTTGCTTCTTTCCATTAATCTGGAATCTTGTTCCCCTGCAATCTTCAGTTAAAATAGGGATCAATACTTGCTTTTGGAGCTCTGTTATACTCCCCAGAAAACATATTGGGATCTGGAGGTTTATTAGATTTTAAATTCTTAATTACAGTTTCTACAGCAATTTACCTATCAAGAGCTGCCAAATCCTCCTCAGAGCTGAGGTAGCCTCACACTTCTCCATTACTGTTTATAAATTCAGAATTTGGATGTTCTGAAGTGTACAAGGTATGGGAAAAGTTAACAAAGATTTCAGTGATCTGTTTGATGGCAGTTATTAAATCTCCCTTTTTATTTCTAATCAGAGGGGTGGCTGACTTACCAGTTTCTTTTTTTTTTTTTAACTTTCTGGCTAAAAGCCTATCAGTTTTATTGTCCTTAGTTTTATTGTCCTTTTCATAATATTTTTGTTTAATGTATCTAAGTGTTTGCTCAGCCACACTCATTTGTAACAGATTAATCTTCCCTCTTACCTCAATTATTTTCTTATACACTCTTTTAGATCCTGTAGCTCTACGTATGCCTACCAAAACAGAAAGTTCTTTAACCAAACTCTCTTCTTCAAGAGCTCTTATTTTTTTAAGGTATGATGCTTTATTTATAAGGATCCCCTTCATTACTCCCTTTCAAGCATACCAGAGAACTCTTGTATTTGGTCCCTTCCTTATCATTATCTTCTATATATTTCTGAAAAATTTCTTCTAGCTCTTGAATTCTAAGGGAGTCATAAACACGGCTCTATTCAACAACCAGGCCCTTTGTTTTTCCACTAAATCCCAGTCTTTAATATATGCAGAGGTATAATCAGACTAAGTTATAACTCCCAGATTAGCTTTTTGGACTAAACTAGTCAAGGCCCTAGAAACAAAAATCATATCAATCCTGGGATAAGATCCATGTGTAGCAGAACAATGTGTGTAGTTCCTGA